CACACAGCAGAAGGTCACAGTCTTACAGCATTTCACGTAGGAAGTCAGGACGTGACATGTTTAGATTCCATCAAGCACATGGCGTTGATGAACGTGGACAAAGCTTCGGTCAGCGTGGTGGCAATCCTGGTCTTCCTGCCCTTGGTGATGACCCTGGTAGTTTGCCTCGCGGATCTGAAGTTTCTTCGTCCGCCAATTCAAAGGCACCTCCGACTCCCTTCTCGGCTTTTGCTCAATGTCTCGATCTGGATTCTGACGATGGCAGTTCCAGTGAGCGCCTCAGAGACCGGAGACCAAAACGAAGACGACACGTTTCTGCCAGAAGCAGGATATCTTCAGAGTCGAAGAAAATCTTGGCCAAATGGATTCGGAAGTACAACAGTGATCAACGAGATGCTCAGCCAGTCCCACAAGTTCCATTGGCACCCCAACAAGTTCCTCAAGGACAAAGTGGCCAGCGTCATGCGCAAGAGCAAGTCTGTGTGTTTCCCCAATGGACGTCGCTATCGCCGACTCACATGTGGCATGGTACGCAGTAACCCTGGAAGAGTACGAAGGCTTAGCGTTGCAGAAGCAGTTCAAGGAGGCCGCAGACCTTGTCGTCAATGCGGTCCCCCTGAACTTGGTTAGGCCATTCGGGGTGGACCCGCAAAGATGGCTGATGATCGAGAGTGAAGAGTTCATGAAGCTGATGACTATGTCGACTACATGTTCGAAGTGAGCCATTTGTGATTGTAAGATTGCATGTGGTGTTTACATCCTAATTTGCAGCAAGGAACGCATTTTGCATGTTCACAGTTCAGTGTGCAGCATTTTGGACGTGTACAAGTGTTGTGCGATGCCATAACATTTCTTGTCCTGTGAAGTTTTGCTGAGCTGTCTCTAGACCAAGAAAAGGCCCTCAAGATGGCCAGACAGCAAGCTGTCAAGAGAGGCGGCGAAGAGTAATGGACCGCAAGAAGTCCCCCGCCTTCTAGTATGCGTACTTGTTTTGCAGTCGTATTGAGAAGTGGTAAGATTCGAAGTCGTTCAACTTTTCCAAAGTGAAATTTGAAGCAAAGGGACGACTCTTTTGGTTGATTGGACCAGTTAGCGTTCAGTCATGTGACGTTTTGAGCTCTGCCAGAAGCTTATTGCGTTAGGCGAGGAATTTTCTGGTTTCTCCAATGTCCAATGTTGAAGTGATCGTTCACTCAAATCGTGAACTATCAAAGGGGGTAACAACATTTGAGAGAATCCACTTTGGCATGTAAAGGATATATGTCATGTGGATTGTTGGTCCCCAACTTTTGTTGTTTTCCAGCTAGCTGAGACTGCGTAGCTACACCAAGGCTCAAAGTGAGTTGCAAAAGAAACCTGACTTTGTTTTGGGTTTGAGTTTTTATTATCGAAGAGGGCGCAGCAGGGATCGACCTCGATGCACTCCATCAAGAAGAGCTGGCAAAAGACACAACCAAGCATGTTGATGCGTATAGAGAACCAGATGATTACAGCAACGAGTGCGTCACGGTTTCATCAATCAAGCACCCAGCCTCCGGCGTTGTGCCTCAACACGGAAGAGATCTCCAAGATGTTTGATGAGATCATGGGATATCTTATCTTCCAGCGCAAGGACATGCTGGATGATTTCCTGTCACTCAGCTTTTCGGAGATGAAGTCCAGGATGGACGAAAGGAGAACACCGTTCACGAGAAGACAGTTCTTTTGTCCGGCCTACATAGCGGAGGATACAATGCTGCCCCGCGCCCCCACAAAAGAAGAATACTTGGAGTGGGCAACAGGCGATGGGAGAAGAGCCTACCAAGCAGAGCGCGAGCAATGGATGTGGGAACGTTGGTTTCAGAAAGGGGGTTCGTCCCTCTTACTCTGTGACAACCTGGAACATTGCTACGAGGCGATTCGCGCACACTCAATGATCTGGAAGCTCTATCTTTGGGCTTACACCACGATCAATGTAAATGAATTCCTCACGCCCTTCATCGCAGTCAACTCTGATGGAGTGCGCACAATCTGTCCAAACTCAGGTGAGGGTCACAGGGGATTGATTATCTCGCGTCTTCGACTGCTTTACTCCACCGCGCTAGGAATTAAGAAGTTCCGCTCTATGTGGCTTACAAGAACATGCCCTCCGAGGTCATCAAGGATGGTGTGTACCACATTTGCATTGAGGGACTTCTCGAGGCACAACAGAAACGCGAGCGCCCGAACCCCGAGGCTTTGTTCATCTGTCAACACATGGGCGCGCAATTCAATAAGGAGTACCAGGCTCGGTACGTGAAGATCATTGTGACCACGATCAATGGTCAGCTTACCAACAAGAAGAATCGTGAGAATGTAGAGGATTGGAGGAAGAAGGCAAGAACTACGTTGTTTCAAGCAAGGTTGCAAGCACTAAAGAACCAGGTACAATCTGGCAGTCGGTACGACCCTACCTTCGAACCGTCTACATCCTCATTTGATGTCATGGGTTGATTCGGTGACAATGGAGTCACAATGCCGTATGCCTGAGTCTCATCGCCATTTTGGTGTGTCAGAGACTGAGTTTTGCACTCAGGGTTTGTCCCGGTGCCGCATGAGAATGTGTTGGAGCACCCTTGTGCAGGTGAGCGTTAAGAAGTGTCAATGCTAGGCAGTTGCAGAGCACGCTAGGCATGTAGTCACTTCAAGCATCAAGCACTTTCAGGCGTGTGGAAAAGTGTAGGTCCCTGCTGCCTTGAGGGTTCATGGGCCTCTGAACTCCTCAGCATCAAGCTGCAGTGCTATGTCAGCTCCAAGCCAACATCAGGTTAGGAGCCCAAGTGAGCTGGCGCCTGGACTCCGCTCAGGTGTTTTGGAGGGTGAAGTGAATGGGCCTTCTTATGGCTCAACTGAGGTGGCCAGTTCTCAGTCAGGCCAGGATCCTCAGTCAGTGCTTGTGAATGGTGTTGGTGCTAGCGAAGCTCTTACTAGTTCGGCTGCGAGTCGCGCACACAACGCACAGACACGCATGCACAGCACATACAGAGCCATCAACCTCCAGCACAGCAACAACCCATACAAGCCGCAGCCGCTGCAGCAACTGGAGTGCCGTTTCCATCTGTAATGGAGCAAGTACATCAGCAAGTGACTGTGGGAGAAGTGTCGTTCTCTCCCCCAGAAGATCTACCCGCTCCTGATGGAGATCCTTCTTCTAGTGCTCAGGGGCATCCAATGTGGGTCCTACGTTTGGGTGAGTTTCTTCAGCGTCGGGTTAATCAAGCTGGCGCTATTATGAGCCCCCTTTTGGATGCAAGAACCTCAAGATCCACCCAAGCTCCGGCACGGCCCCCTTTGATGCCTCCTAGGAGTTGGTCTGGTGGATACTAGCAGGGCTTGTTCTCGCCGGAGGCGGAAAGGACTATGCAGCAATGGGCTTCCCAAGCTCCCCTACTTCATGGCCCTCCACCTCAACATGGTAGTGAGTCATCTACAGGGTCTCTCACTCGGGAACAAGTGCTACTTGAGGTTCAGCGGCAGGTTTCGAAGGAGATGCAAGTATTCACTCAGCAACGGACTGCACTTGAAATGGAGAATCAAAGACTTCGTGAAGCCCTAAATCGAAGTCAACAAGCCCAGCATGCCCAGGTGATGGGTCATCAAGAAGGACGTGTGCTTGGCAATTCAGCAGGACCTCAGGGAAACGCGTTTTCTGGAGTTGTAGGGGATCGTGGAGGTAATCCTGTTGGACCTGGCCCACAAGCTTCTGTAAGTGCAGGGGATCCTCTTGGTAGGCAACCAGATCCTAAAGGGCATGAGTATGATCCTGCTTCAGAACTTGAGCGTTCTGGTGTACATCAACGGGATCCAGGGGCTGCTCGTGAAGCATTTTTAGTACGTGATGGTGCTCCTGGGGAAGTTCCTGGTAGCTTTGTCGGTCCAAGAAAAGATCCTTTGGGAGTACTTGGGGGGCAAGAACGGCAGCCTTTCTTGGGTACTCCGGGTGGCGGAGGACGGACTGAGACGGAGCAGGAAAATCAAAGGGACGCACCCTGTGGCTCAGCAGGAGAAGGGCCTCAAGGAGGTTCTTTTCGAGCTTCAGATCCTTTTGGACTTTTGGTTCAAGGAATGGCGCAGCTGCAAAGTGCTGTGTCTGAAAGTTTGAGGTCAAAGAGCAAAGACGTGGAGATTGTGAGGCCTGGGATTGCAGAGCTTCCAAGGCTGGCCGAGCTGTCCGAGAACTCGGCAATTGATGTGGGAGACTGGTTGCATGGGCTCCAAAACCACATGGGCGACTTGTCGAATGGCAGTGGTGACTGGTGGAAGGAGGTGATGCTTTCCCTGGCTGCCTACTACGATGCGTATACTCGGGCCTCTCATGTTGGGAAGCTGGCGCTTAGACCTGAAGATTACGAGACTCCTGAGCTCAAGGATCCCAAATGGTCTCGAGTTGACAAACGGGCAGCGTCCATGCTCCTTGCCAGTGTTCCTGAAGGGGTTCGAGATGAAATCCTGGCCTCCAGACTGAATGGCTCGTTGGCTTTGCTTTCGCGAGTGGTGGTGCTTTTCCGGCCAGGGTCTGTGGTGGAGAGGCAGCAGATTCTTGCGTCCCTCGAGAATCCTCCACAGGCCAACAATGCCACTGAGGCGGTCAACTCGCTAAGGCGCTGGGCTCGGTGGATGGCTCGGGCTACAGATCTTGGAATCCAGCGTCCTGATCCTAGTGTGCTACTACGTGGCTTGGATTCTTTGTGCAAGAGACCGCTACAAGACTCTCCTGAGATCTCTTTCCGCATCAACATGCTTCGATACAACTTGGAGTCGATGTGAGGCCAACGGAGAAAGGTGTGAAGGACCTTCACCAAGCCCTGGTCTCTGAGTTTGAGCAGATTGCCTATCGAGGATCCACCGCTAGCAGTTCCAAGGTTCCGTTTGTGAAGGCTGTGACTACAACTCCGGGACCACCTCCAGCTAAGGCTTCGTCAGATGGTGGATCTCCTCCCTCGCCAGCAAAGGCCAAGGGAAAGGCGTCGTGCAAGTACTTTCTTTCAGATCAAGGCTGCTCAAAAGGCAAGGCGTGTACTTGGTCCCATGCGTTTACTCGGAAGGAGAAGCAGGGCAGGTGCTGGTCGTGTGGAAGTCCTCAGCATCAACAAGGGACATGTCCAGTGCGAGGTGAAGGGAGTCCCGCAGGGAAGGCCAAGGCCAATGTTCCAAAGGCTCCTCCAATGGCAGCGGTAGCTATGACAGCAGGCTCTGGAACTGCCAACTTTGAGGGCCTTGCGGCTCTCCCGATGGCTAGTTCTCCGGTTCCTCCAGGTCTTGCGGCCGTTGCGACAACCTCCGGTACTACAAGTTCAGCACCAGCCATGAAAATGCCAGAGACTGAAGTTAAGCGGCTTCTTAAGGAGGCGAACGCCATGTTGAAGGAGATGAGGCAGCTGAAGATGCTGGCACTGTCCTCCACTCAGGTTGAGAATATGGCGGTTGGTTATGGATGTCACCCAGGTACTGGTCGTACTGGAGTTTGTTGGACTCTGGAGCTTCGCACCCCTTTCGCGTGGCCACCGAGGAGGAGATTGAGAAGGCTACGAAAGTCAAGGTGCAGTTGGCGGATGGAGCGGAGGTGGTGTTGGCGCAGAACAAGGCTGGCACTTTGTTGGCAAGGCCTTCAAGAGAAGGGGATGCTGCTACTCCGATTGTGCCTTTGGGCTCTCTTGTCCAAGATCTTGGGTGTGATGTTTCTTGGTCTCGGCGTCGTGGACTGGAAATCAGACACCCTGAGCATGGGGTGATTCGCCCCAAAGTTGTGGGCCCATGTCCAGTTGTGGGAGAAGCCTGTGCACTTGACTTGATTAAGGAGTTGGAGGACTTGAAGCTTTCAGCTCTTCAGACTTCGACGGCCTCTATGGCAAGGGCAATTTGGACTTGGGATCAAGAAGAGGCTTGGTCCCAGCACTTGGACACCTTCCTGTTGACTGGGTCGCGGGCTGCTCAGCTTCAGGCTTTGTCGGCAGAAGATTCGCCCTTTCGGAGTATCAGCCAAGCAGACAAGGCGTGCCTAGCGGAAGGTGTGGATTTGTCTTCACGTGCTGGCTGGGACTACTTGAAGGCCTTCCCGGTCTCTCGACAAAGGAGAAAGCGGCTGATGTCCTTGCCCTGGGTGGTCCAACTTGTATGCCGGAAATGGCAAGGGAGTGGATCCTGTGCTAAGGGACTTGGAGGACAATTCCGTTCTTCTGGAGATTGACATCACGAGGTCTTTGTCCTACGACCTGCATAAGATGAGTGGTGTGTACCGTGGCCTTTTATGGGGAGCGGCGACAGGTCGGATTGCTGGCCTTGTGGGATCGCCTCCGTGTCGAGGGGAACGTGATGTTCAGCTCGTTCTTAAGCAGATGTGGCTCACCACGGTTGCCAAGGCCGCTAGAAGTACTCAAGGGGGATTTCCTTTGTTCACGATGCTTGAGGGTCGCAAGTTTTTCGAGACCATCAAGGGCAAGGATGGACGATGTTGGGATCCTCTTCGGGGAATGTGGCCGGCTTTTTTGTGGAGCAGATGTGCTTAGAAGAGGTTGGAGAAGTTATGGCAACAAACCTTGACTTTGTCCTCCCCTTGGAGATCACCACTGGAAAGAACGCTGCGTGGACGCATGGCTTCAAGTTGGCAGTTTTTGAGGCGATCAAGCGATGGAAAGCGGAGCCGGAAGCTCTTCAAGTTGCCAAATGGGCCAAAAAGATTGATGTTAAGGGCTTCCTTGAGTCGTTCAGTGACAAGGATTTGAAGATGTGGCGGGCTCATGTCCGCAACAACCATCGCCCCTACAACACAGGAACTGCAAGACATGCGTCTCCAGCTCGGGCGTTGGTAGACTTCACAAGCGAATAAAGCATCCAAGTGCGCATTGCCTGAGCCTGGACATTGCAGGTCCCTTCAGAGTGAGAGCTTCGGATCCTGACCATACAGACTACAGGTACATGTTAGTTGGTGCATATACGTATCCTCGACTTGAAATGAAGGCTGCTGGCTCACCAAAGAAGGGCAAGGGCAAGGGCGCGCGACCAGACGGTGGGCATCCAGGAGATCCACGACCAGACAGTGGGCATCCGGGAGATCCACGACCAGACGGTGGGCATCCAGGAGATCCACGACCAGACGGTGGGCATCCAGGAGATCCGCGACCAGACGGTGGGCATCCGGGAGATCCACGACCAGACGGTGGGCATCCAGGAGATCCACGACCAGACGGTGGGCATCGGTGGAGGCCGAGAAGACGATCCGGATCATGACGATCTCCTTCAGGCTTTACTGGTTGATGAAGGGCCCCATGCTGGGGCAGCTGAACGTGACGAAGGTGATCTGTTTGAGGAGGAGCCTGAGGATGAGTTTCCGGACTTTGAGGAGTCAGACCTGAGAGGCCTTTCCCAGGAGGAGTTCGAGAAGATCTTCCGTGAAGTTGGAGATGGTCTCGAGTTTGACACCTTTTATGTATCTCGTCCGCTGAGATCTAGAACTTCGTCGGAGGTGTACTCAGCTGTGCAGGAGTTGTTTTTGACATTGAAGGCGGAGGGCTTGCCCATAGCTAGAGTTCATGCTGATCGAGCACGTGAACTGCGCACGGTACCGCTGAGGAGATGGCTACTTGAGAGAGGAGCGTTGTGCACATATACCGAGGGTCAAGCTCCTCAGGCAAACGGCAGAGCTGAAAGTGCCGTCAAGTGGGTCAAGGCGCAGGCGCGCAAGCTCCTGACTGCTTCGGCGCTTCCAAGATCGTGCTGGGCTATGGCGGCTGTTTATGCCACATGGGCCAGGAGAGAAACCCAGCTTGGACGGGGACAAGAAGTCCTTCCTTTCGGAACCCCTGTGCATGTCCGCTCAAAAGTCTATGGAGCTGGCGGACGCTATGACTTGAACTTGAGATGGAGATATGGGCGTTATGTGGGGCCCAGTTTGGATGTTCGTGGAGGGCATGTGGTTTTGTTTGAGGATGGCTCCTTTCTCACTTCAGCGCATTTGAGGCCTCACCTTGTGGACTCTGACAAGATCGTTGACCTTGGCAAGTATGAAGCTCTTGTCATGACACCAGCGCGGCGACTTCGAAGTAAGATGTCTCTGGAAGAGCGTGTGGAGTTTGATCCCTTGGATGCGGACGTTGGCGACCATGATCCCGAACGACTTCTTGTCACAGTCCCGTCCGGCGTGTCCACATCCAAACCACCCTCCTTAAAGGCCGAAAGCGGAGCAATCATACTCTTCCCAACGTTGTGAACATCCTTATGACCTTTTGCTTGAATGTTAACGTTGATGGCCACGGAGGTAAACTCATGATTCGGAGCAATCTGCTTCGCATACTTGACAAAGACTCTTGTTGACATAGGAAAGGCCAATGTTGACTTCTTCACCCCAACAACACCTCCATGGACAAATGCACCTGAAGACCAAATTTTCTGGGCCTCCTCTACAACTCCAAACCGCTTGGGAATGAGTGAAGTGCCAGGAAGCATGTGTGCAAGTACTTCCAACTGCTCTGGCTCAAGATGCTCTTCTCGAAGAAGGCCTAAGGCATACTGCTCCGCAGGATTTCAAGAAGGCCCTGTTTTCTTCAGTCCGAAACATATGCATACAACGAGGCCTTGGTCAAGTGGCAATCGCGTGGTCCTTGTGGCTTACTCTGTCTCTGTTAGAGACAGTGGCAAGCTGAAGGTGGATGATATTGCTGCTCTCCGTGATATGGGGTTTTCAGTGGACTCCCCACTTGTCAAGGCCAGACTTGGTTGAGGAAGCTCCAGCCTTGAGGACATTGCGTGTAGGCCTTGTGGGCAGAGTTAGTCCTGTGGAGTTTTCGCCTTCAGTGGATGCGCAAGCTACTGAAGATGCTCCAGCTGAAGATTTTGTGACTGGGGAGGAGCCTGACTCGGCTGTCCCTCAAGGTGGAAGACGGGGCAAGGCTCAGCAGCCCTCAGCGCCTTTGGAGCATGTGCGTCAGGATCTTGATCTTGTGTTTTTGAAGACCTTGAAGAAAGGGCTGCCCGGCTTAGAGATTTGCTTGAGGAGGAGGAGATCTTGAGTGAAGAGTACCGCAGAGTCGGAGATGAAGCTCGGCGGCATCTTGGGGATGCTCGAGACCAAGTGGCTCAGTACTTAGAGGATGTGCATGCTCGTTTTGCCCATGTGGAAAGGCTTAAAGCTTTGACGTGCTTGAGGGCCATGCGGGCGTCTTCTTCTTCGTCTGGCAATGAGCTGGAGCAGGAGCCGAGCTATGAGAAGCTTTTAGACTCTTTGGAGGATGATCTTCAGGTGGTTCACACAGTGCCACTCCCTCAGGTTCGTGAAGTGTTGGTCCGTTGGGAAGCGGCGATTCGCAAAGAGGTTGAGAACCTCTTGGCCACCGGAACTGTTCGACAGGTTCCTGTGTCAGAGCTACGAGCGCTTGAGCAGAAGGGCCTTGTCACTGTTGCTCCGGCAAAGAGCGTCTTCACCTTGAAGCCTCCAGCTACTCATGGTTCCAAGTACAAAAGGAAATGCCGCTTGGTGATTTGCGGCAACTTTCTTGCTGATGAAGGTAAGGAGGAAGCCTTTATGCTTGAGGGGTCAATACCGACTCTTTAAGGCTAGCGCTGGTGTTGGCTGCCTCTAAGCAATGGCTGGCGGCGGTCTCTGACATTACAGGAGCCTTCCTACTTGCCCCTTGGCCAGATCACCTCCCTCGTTACGGCATCTATCCTTCAAGAATTGTTCGAGATGCCCAGGTGGTTGAAGATGTTGGATGGCTACTTGAGCGGCCGTTGTATGGCCTAAGAGAGAGTCCATCAGTGTGGGCGGCGTACCGTGATGCCCAACTAAAAGGAGCTCGCATCGTTGTGGACGCTTTGGTTCTGATCCTGAGACCTACGTTTTCGGAGACGGAGCTATGGATGGTCCTTGATGAGTCAAGCGGTGAGTTGCTTGGCTTGGTGGTCACGTATGTCGACGACATCCTGTACTTAGGGGAGCTTTACATCATCAATGCCCTGCACTCTTTTGTTGTGGAGAAGTGGCCAGCGAGTCCCTTGGAGTGGGTAAAAGATAAGCTTGCCGTGAGGTACCTGGGAGTGGAGATTCTTTGGGAGCCCGGGGCTAAAAGCTTCAGCATTAGCCAAGCAGCATACATAGCAGACATACTGCGCGCACATAACCTTCACGACGCACACAGCACGCTGTTACCTGTTCCGAGAGAGTGGGTCGAAGCTGCTGAAGCCGAGTTAGAGGATGTGGAGGCGGATATCAATGGGTCTGTCCTGCGAAGTGCTCAGAGAGCAGTTGGCGAGGCGTTGTGGCTGGCGACAAAGTCAAGACCAGACATCTTGTTCGTGGTGAATCACATGGCAAGTGTTGTGTCGAAACGTCCTGCGTATGTTTTAAGGGTGAGTCAGCGAGTGCTTTCATACTTGTCTGGCACAAGCAACTTGAAGCTGATGCTTGGCCCCCGAAGTGCTAGCCCTGGAGAACTTGTCTGCTACACAGACGCTTCGTATGCTCCTTTTGGTCAGAGGCCCTTTGGAGCAGCCGTGGTAACCCTGGAAGGAAGCCCGGTGGCTGGAAAGCAGGTCGACAGAGTTTTGTCACCCTTTCGGTTATGGAGGCAGAGCTCTATGCTGCTACCCAAGGCTGTGTTTTGTTGGAGTCCGTTTCTTCAGTGCTTGAAGAAGTTTACCCTGGAAAATACAGCAAGGTTTTGGCCATTGACAATACAAGCGCGGTAGCCATGTGCAATGAAGGGCCTGGCAGCCAGAGAACACGACATTTGAAGATCAGGGCTTCCTATATCAGGGAGTCAGTGAATGAAGGGCGGCTGACCATACGTCACACTCCAGGCGATCTGCAGCTGGCAGACCTTGCAACCAAGCTTCAGCCAAAGGTGAGACTTTGGAGGCTTCTGAGTTTGTGGGGTTTTGTTGGAGATCGTTTGACAGAGATGCTGAATGCTTTCAAGACCAAGCTTTTGTCTGTGGTGGTGGCTCTTTCGGTGTTGTTGGTGCCTGTAACTGGGACTTCTGCTGAGAAAAAGGAGCCCTTGGCGGCGACAGGCTGGGAAGAGTTGGCGTTTCTGCTTGTGTTGACATGTGTGGCGGTGATTGGCGTTTGGGAAGCTGGAAAGGCAGGATACAGAGCGTTACAAAGAAGCTTAAAAGGCTCAAGGAGGGCTCAAAAGATGAGACGTGTCTCAGACCTGGCCGCGGCTGCCGCGAAGAGAGAGGTAGCGTCACAAGCCGGGATGAGTCTTGTTTCTGAAGGGTCCTCGAGCCTTAGGCCAGCTTCGGTAGCAGCCTCGTCTTCAACACCTCAGCTTCGGAGGAGGCGGGTTGAGTCCCGGTCTGCTTCTCCTTTAGCGAGAGGATCTCTTCAAGATGTTGCTGCTCAGCGTGATATTACTCCGCCGAGACGACGAGTTCCTGCAGAGGAAGATGTGTCGCCTTCTCCCGGAGCACAAAGCTCAGTGTCGGGAGGACTGGAAGATCTTCAAGAAAGGTCCCGTGTAGTGAAAGATGTCTTGAAGTTGCTGTCTTGCGAAGAGCTCAAGGCAGCTTTGAGAAGCCAAGGCTACCTTACAAGTGGCCTTAAGGAAGACCTGATTGTCAGGCTTGCGCCAGTGTTTGATCCTTCGTCGGAGAGAAGCAATCTTCCGACTTTGAGACAGCTCAAGTTTGTGTTGTGGCTCTGGAGGGAGAAGGGTCTTCAGCGAAGGTGCCATTTGAGGTGGACCGACGTGTTCACCAAGATCTCGACATCTCAGTTCTTGCATCTGTGGAAAGATGCTCCTAAGGTGTGATGCTGTTGCCTTGTGTTCCAGTTGTACAGAGCCGTATGACTGAAGTCTCCTAGGAAATGAACCTTGTGCTTCCATGGAGAGGCTCACCTTGGCAGTGTAGCTTGCCGCTGAAAGCGTGAGCTAAGGAGGAGTGTTGGAGCACCCTTGTGCAGGTGAGCGTTAATGTTTGCAGCCATGGTGGCTGAGCCAGTGAAGTGTCAATGCTAGGCAGTTGCAGAGCGCGCTAGGCATGTAGTCACTTCAAGC